ATGTGTGGTGTGTGTGTGTGTGTGTGTAAGTGAAGGTATTTCACTTAAATGTCTTAAATGTTTCTGAAGGACATTTCTGAAATAGGAATTCAAGCAAAGCCATCAGAGGTTAACAAAGGAGTACACTGTTTAACAAAAAGCAATGATGTCTAGAACTCAGGATGAGTATGAGAGCACATATTGACATAGAAACAACAAAGGTAAGGATTCATAGAATGCCTGGATAAGAGGAAGAAATACAGTAAGAAGCACATCAACTTTGAAGTCAAACACACCTAGGCTTGAATGTCAGCACTTCCACCAACTGTAATATGATGCTGGGAAAGTAACTAACCTCATGAATCCCAGTTTCTTCAATGGATATCTGAGGTTATTAAATCAAATAAATGGAAAATAAATTCTTTAACAGAGGTCAATAATAAATGCTATATTCTTGCTGATTTTTTTTTCTGTCTCCTTTGTATCCTCAAACTTCTTAGATCCACAAGAACATTATTATTTTGTAGAAAAAAATATTTTAATTTATTAATTTAATGTGCCAAAGTAATATTCTAAATACAAGAGTAAAGAGATACCTACAAATAATGCTGACATAATTATTTTACCATTCATTCAGTGCTTCATGAACCAGATGAATGTGTTATTCTCACTCATGTATAGAACATTTTTTACAACAAATTTAGAAAAATAATAATAAATATCATGTTTTGTATTCTGTAAAAAGCGCTGATGAAGATAGGTTGGATATAGTTTCTAGATTCAGCAATCCCTACTAAATATCAAAAGATAACACAAACGTATGTAAAAACAGATGTCATGGAATCATCGTAGTCAATACATAATGAACATTCTCTTCCTAATTCTGTCTGCTGTACACACACACACACACACACACACACACACACACACACTCACACCCCAAGCACTCTCAAGTTAACAAGTTCAAAAATGGAGAAGATCTATGAAAAAACTTTCTTAAACCATACACTAAGATAGGATATTTGAGTAGATGAATTACATCTTAACAGTGGCATATTAGATAGTTGGTGCCAGGTCTATTTCTTCCTATTGTTTTGGTGTTTCAGTTGTTTAAAGCCAAGAGGAAAATTCCCTGTCAAATTTCTGTTTACAATAAAGCTCTCTCCGTCTCTTTACAAAATTATTGGACACAATATTTTATTGATAAGAATGTGAATCATACCACTATATTTTCAAAGAAAGACATGTGATCTCCTATAACAGTTAAAGTCAGGCAGGACAATTTCTAGGCTTGCTAGTAGATGATATAGATTATAATTTGGGGAAATTAAGTTTACTTAATTGCTCTAAGCAACTTGCCTAGTGGTTTGTCATGTTGCCTAAAATTTTATTATGAAGAACTTAGGGGGAAAAAAAAAAACACAAACATACAATAGATTGAAATTTTTGTTCATTTTTTGCTCAAGCCAGGGCAATTATATTATTTACTCCAATGTAAGGTTTCCTTCTTATTCTTCAAGAAAGGAACCAAACATAAAAAGAGTAGAAAATAACTTCAATACATATAAATATATATATATATATATATATAAATAGTCACCATGCTGTGCAATCCATGTCATAAACTTACCTATGTTGTCTAACTAAAACTTTGTACTCTTTTACCAACACCTCCCCAATACTACTCATTGCCCTCCTCAGCTGGGGCAACCACCATTCTACTGTCTACTTCCATGAGCTCAACTTTTTTAGATTTCACATATAAGTGAGTTCAAACAGTATTTGTCTATCTGTGCCTGGTTTATTTCATTTTGCTTAATGTTCTTCAGGTTTATCCATATTGTCACAAGTTACAAGATTTCTTTCTCTTTTAAGATTGAATAGTATTCCATTGTGTGTAGATATATACATATATATCACTCTTTCTTCATCCACTCAACATTGATAACACAGGTTGACTTCACATCTAGTCTATTGTGAACAGTGCTACAATGATTCTATCTCTTTGACATATTGATTTTAAATCATCTGGATACACAACCAGTAGTAGGATGGCTGGATCATACAGTTATTCTATTTATAGTTTTTTGATAACCCATCATACCGATTTTCACAACAGCTAATATACACTCCCACCAGCATTAAACAAAAGTATCCTTTTTGCTACATCATCACCAGCATTTGTTCTTAAGCCTTTAGTGTGTTATCTTTTATATTTAACCTTATTACTCCTCTGGAATTAATTTTAGTATACAGTATAATTAAGGAATTAAAGTTCATTTTGTTCTTTTTTACATGGATAAATTAGTCCATCACCATTCTTATCACATTGCAGTGTCTCTTTTTTTTATATTAGTGGTTTGCTTTGACTTTTACATTGTCTATATTGTTTCATTGGTTAATTTGCTTATCCTTGTGTCAAACCATAGTAAATATTATATATATACACATACACACATATAAATATTATTATCAATCTTGTATCTGGTTTTCTTCATCTTTCAGTGTTTTTCTTCCTTAGAAAAGATGTGGGCTATTCTACAAACTTTATATACCCTTATAGACTTTCAAAATCATTTTCAGAAATTTTGATTGAGATTGCATTTAATCTAAACATTATATTATTTACAATACTGAGTCTTTAAATACAAGTATGAGTGTGGTGCATTCTACCATTTATTCAGCTCTTCTTTAATTTCTCTCAATATTGTGTAGTTTTCAGTGCATCTGTTTCATATCATTCATTAGATAGATCCATACATGTTTGCTTATGTAGTTGCTTACTTGGTTTTTTTTTATATGACATTGATATATAAAGGATGTTCTCAGTTAAAAAAAAATGAAAAGAAAACAAAGTATAAAGGTAAATATTTGGGCTTATTTCTGTTATATTACTTCAAATATTTTTTCCCCACTGAGAATGAATCATAGAAGAGAAATGAATTTATGTAAAAGATCATTTTCAGAGTCTCAAAAGTATAGTAGTTCTTCATTACCTACCGTTTTGCTTTCTGTGATTTCAGTAAAATCTGTGGTCAATCATGTTGATGTACACTATTTACTGATTTGTATCACCTACTAAACATTGAGGTAACATCCTACTCAGGCTAATCTCCTGGTTAATCCCCCACAGGATCCCCAGCACCGTGTGTACTGTGCACAGCCCCATGCACAGAGCAGTGAGAGACAGCATGGTCAGGAAGTAGAACATGGGCTCATGTAGGCTTGACTCCTAATAAATCACATGCAGCACCAGGCGGTATCATCGCATAGATACAGGAGAAGGGGATGGAGAGCCAGGGATAGTACTTCTCCAAGCCAGGGAAGCCTGTTAACTTTCTATATAATGGAACCTGAGAGTGCTAAATCCATAATTTAATGAGGTACAAATATTATTTTCCCATTATTACTATTTTTATCCTTATTATATTCTGAAAAATGTGTAATAAAATTACAAAACTTTGTGGAGAGCAGAACTTGGAGTGTGGAATTATGCTAAAATTGCACTAACCTTTAATAATAACAAAATGTAATATTATGCAACTGTAATGTTAATGTTTATTGACTGTTTTCATGAGAATGAAATAAAGAAAGTGGAGATTTTAATTGTATTTGATCTATGTAGATAATTTATTTTTCAAAAAGGATTATATTCAGTGCCTTTAATAATGTGGCCCTTTAAGGGTTATATAAGTATAGACAAAAATCAAGCAAAAAAACAATTATCTCAGTCTTTTCTGTGTTTGGGAAAACACTAGTCTAATAAGTAGAATAAAGCATATAAAAATTGAGCAGTAATTATCTGTAGAAAGTGAATACTTAACCTGTTTACTAAACCTTAGTCTTTAATAATTTTTTAACCACATTCCCTTATCTGTCATTGTTATGTCTATCATACATAGAATGTATTTAAGATGCAGGAAAGGATACACAATTTTTAGATGAAAATTAGAAAAGTGTGCAACTCAATAAGGATATCTGCATAATCAATGTTTTTATATCTATCCCTGAATTGTACTCCACATCTTTATAATAAATAAATAAATAAATAAATAAATAAGCACGAACTGAAGGAGTTTCAGTGAAGACAAAAACTTAAGACAGACCAGAGTAATTAAGACCATGGGCTCTGACGACAGGCTCCATGGGTTCAAATACTGACCACTCAGTAGCCTACATAATTTTGGAAAGCTACCTAACCTTTCTTGAACTCAATTTACTCACTGTAAAGCATGACTGATAGTAGCACCTATGGCTTAGTATTGGTGTGAGTATTAAATTATCAAATTTATAAATGCCTAGAATAGTACCGGCACACCTAATGAATTACGTAACTGCTTATTAAATAGGGCAAATACATCATTTATGGATAACTCTCAATTGCAATCAGATGTAGTTATTTTCATCATCCTTTTTAAAATATGAACACATTATCCCAGAGGACATGGAGTCATTAATGTTCGTTTGTCTCCTCTCTGATGATATCACCACAGCCCTATAGCACTGTCTTGACACAAGGACTTAAAAATATATAACTTAACCTTGTTGGGAAGAGAGAAGCAAATATATGTTCGGTTTTAAAAACTAGCTTGAGATTTGAACAAGATTTATTGGATAGAAGAAACAGACTGAATATCAGCATATAAGGAAAGGCAATGGGTAACTACTTTTCACAATGACACTAAAGGATTAATATACATTTTGGAAATAGAATTCTTCATAATCTTGAATTACTTGAAAAAAGATAAAATTCACTTTAATCAGTTTTCTTTTTTCTAACTTCAGTGTTTTACTAGGTAGAAATTGTATAATATACTTAGCATACAGATGTACCTTTATAAAGGTTTTGTACAACAGTAAAAATGACTACCTAATATAAACAAATCTAATCTAAAGAACTTCATGTTACATGGTTCTTCACCTTTGCTCAAATCTTTCCTGTAGGAAGAAAAAGAATTGTATGAACGTTGTCACCAAGTGGAAATAATATCTGACTCATACATAAATACCTCAAATTATAAATGACTACTTTTCCTGCTCTTGACACCAATTCCTCAACCTTTTTGCTAACAGGCTTCCCTGGCTTGGAGAAGTACTATCCCTGGCTCTCCATCCCCTTCTCCTGTATCGATGCAATGGTAGTCTCAGGGAACTGCCTGGTGCTGCATGTGATCCATATGGAGCCAAGCCTGCATGAACCCATGTTCTACCTCCTGGCCATGCTGGCTGTCACTGATCTGTGCATGGGGCTGTGCACAGTACACACGGTGCTGGGGATCCTGTGGGGGTTTAGCTAGGAGATTAGCCTGGATGTCTGCATTGCTCAAAGTTTCTTTATTCATGGTCTATCATGCATGGAGTCTGGAGTCCTTCTCTCGATGGCTTTTGATCGTTTCACAGCAATCTCTAATCCTCTAAGGTATACATCTATACTGACCAATGCCAGGATCATCAAAATTGGTCTGGGGATTTTAGTTAGGAGTTTTATGCTTATTATGGCTCCTATAGTCCGTCTAAAGTTGTTTCATTACTGCCGTTCCCATGTCCTTTCTCACTTTTTCTGCCTTCACCAAGACCTGCTGAGACTAGCCTGCTCTGACATCCGCTTCAATAGCTACTATACCCTGGCTCTGGTGATCTGTATCCTTTTGTTAGATTCTGTATTAATTATCGTCTCCTACATCCTGATCCTGCATTCTGTCTTGGCTGTTGCATCTCAAGAGGAGAGGTTCAAGTCCTTTCAGACCTGTGTCTCCCACATCTGTGCTGTTTTGGTTTTCTACATCCCAATCATTGGTCTGACCATGGTGCATCGCTTTGGAAAGCACCTTTCTCCTATAGTCCATGTTCTCATGGGCAACATCTACATCATCTTTCCGCCTCTGATGAACCCCATCATCTATAATGTGAAGACCCAACTGATCCGAGGCAGGATTCAGAGGTTGTTTTCTATGAAGAGGAAATAAAACATCTTAAATCAAAAAGTCGTAAGTTTCTTAGATTCAGAAAACTAAGACAGGGAGGGAGAAGAAATAAATTTATTTAAGAAAGGTTAAAAATAAGATGATGAAACATTAAAACTTTATAAAATATATTAGTTGAAAGATTTAAATAATAAGAATGATTTCATTACTCATTTTAAAAAAATAGAATTGTGATGTTGAAAGGTTTATCTATCATGCCATTAACATTTCTGTGCAATAAAAGATAACATTTTCAATTGCCCATAAGCATTTTTCTTGTAAAATATCTACAAGCAAGTCATCTAAACACACAGTTTATGTCCATCAAAAGACGCACAATATAATGACCACTTGATATTATTACCTTGATTAACATAGAAATTGCAACTGGTCTCTGATATTAAATGTATGTTTTCAGACTAGTTAATAGTTCACTTGTGGGCCATTCCAAAACATTATTACTTGTCTTCTCACTAATCTGTCAATCGAAAACTCTATTACTCTCTGATCAAAGGAACTTTTTAAAGTAAATTTTATTGTTTATATTTAAGAAATGCAACGTGATGTCATAAGATTATAAATAAATGAATACATATATATGTATATAAAGACTACTATAGTAGTATAAATTAATATATCCTTCATATCATCTGCATACTCAACCCACCTCTCATGGCAGAGCAGCTGTCATATACCCGTTTAACAAAAGTAAAGAAAACAGCGCACTATTATTAGCTGTAGTTTTCTTGTTTTACATTTTTTTTAACTTATTTATTCTACATGTTTTCTACTTTTCATTCTTCAACGTTTTTCCCTCCATTTCTTCTCCCTGGCTGTGAATCTGACAGCCATAGTTTTATTCTTTTTATCAATTGATTTGAACTTTAAAAAAATTCCACATACAAGTAAAATTATATCATCTTCACATATCTATAAATAATCCCCATCCTCACAATCAGTCTTATAGGAACTGATATGATTTTACTGTTCAGAAGAAGTGATCTACTTATTTGACTTTTTGGATTTTCTCTTATCTTTTGTGGATTTGATAAATATCAGTAAGGCAAGTTTTTTTTGGATAGGAGATTTTATACTGGTAGGATAAATAAATATTATTTCTTAATAATTATGCAAATCAGATTGCTAGCAATTTGAGAAAATAACGAATCTAGCCTAAACTGAATCTTGTAGCATTGTCACTCATGAAGATCTTTCAAAGGAAACAATATTGTTAAGTTTTTATCTGTAGCATCAGATAACATAATATTCCTCATCCTCATCCCAAAATATAGGGAAAAATACCAAGATGTGTTATTAGATAGGACTAATTTTGATTATTTCATGGAAATGCCATCAAATTTCTGAGGAAAAACTTGGTAAACCACTGAAAGCATTTTCCAGATATTCAAATTTATGATTGTTTCTTCTTTTCTAAATTCTATATTCTGACTCATTGATTTCATGAATGAATCTTTATAGCATGTATTGCTCTTTCTCTGGAATCAGAGCTATCATCAGTTTTTGTTGAGGTCTGACAATTAAGTTGGCTAGCTTGCCACTGTGCACTTATGTTGACAGAACTGTACAGCTATCCTTATTGAAACACTCTTCCTGCTCCCCTGATCAGGCCCCAATGACTTTTTTTCTTTACCTGAAAAGGAAATATTGAAAGGAAGATATTTGATGGCATTTGGTACATCAGGGTAATACAGCAATGGCTCTGATGGCCATTCCAGAAAAACGTTCCAAAAAAATGTTCCAAAATTGCTTTTCTGGCCATGCCAGAAAAACGTTCCAAAATTGCTTTGACTGGCATCAGTCATACATAGAGCTTCCCAAGGATAGTACTAGAATGAGTTCACAAACTTAATTGTCAGTCTCAATGAGATTAGCTGACTGGTAACAATTATAGAAATTTATAGATTAAAAACTTTTTTAATCAGAAAAAAAGTTTTCATAAAAACAGTTATTTTGAATAAAAGCAGTTTTAATCAGAAAATATGTAAGATAAAGATGAAAGAAGAATTAGTGAAGATCTGTTTTCAAGAAAAATGTGGGATGTTTTTAGACTTATTTGGGTCCTTACTTGTACTTAGGAAATTTGAGAATGAAACAAATCATAAATGGTGTAGTGGACTGTTGGAAAAAAAAGTAATGTTCTGCCTTCAAGGGTAATATGGCAACCTGATTACACAACATGTTAGCCCGTTTCCAACTTCCCACTAAAATGCATTTAAATGTATATTGAAATTATAAGAGTTCAGAACAACTTGGAAAATGAGAAAAATTAGTCAAGTGATTGAAAACTTGAAAATCATTTCTACAACCTAAATAAAGCTACATTATAAATAGAAATTATTAAAGACTTCATCAATTTGTGAATTGAGTATAACAATAAACCAGAAACTGATTAGAAATGTAGTTTTGCTCAATTCAACTTATAATCAAAGAAATATAGTTGACAATAGCCATGGCTTTACTGTTTTGCTTTAAAAACATTTTTTACAGATACTTGCCATATTCCCCTTTAGAAAAAATTAAAAATACCCATGATAGCACAATAATGCAATGTTATGCTTATCTAATAATCAACAATATTAGCTAGAAATTAAGATATTCATATGTGATAGAAGGCAAAAGAAAAAATAAATGCAATTATTTTGTTCAAATTTGCTATAAGTATGTAAACTCAATAATTATTTCTAATAATATGTTAAAATTATAAGCATTCAGCAAGTAGTAAATTTTTAAATAAGCATTTCTTTTACATTAAAAATATTTTTAGAAAGTATAACAGAAAGACAAATTTTTAAAAAAATTCAACAACTGTGGCTATGAATAAACACACAAATACTCTTATAGGGACTTGTAAGAGAAGACATTTGAGGAAATACACATTCCTCATTGTATCTATAGTCATCCTACTAAAACAACTCTATAGCTGCACTGTAGTCAAACTAATCACAATATTTTAAATCAAACAAAATGTTTATACTTCCTAGGGGAGGTGAAAATCTAGAGAAAAAAGAAATTTTTTCAAAAAACTTTTGAAAGTAATACTTTAGATTTTATGGTTAATAAATTATAATATAGAACGACATTATTTTATACAGTAGAGTACATAAACAAAGAATAAACAAACCCTTCATGACAGAACATGAAGTATAGACATAAAGCAGATATCCATAAAAATATTGAAAATAGGCTGAGTGCAGTGGCTCAGCCTGTAATCCCAACACTTTGGGAGACCGAGGAGAGAGGATTGCCTGAGCCCAGGGCCTCAAGACCATCATGGACAACTTGGTGAGACCTTGTCTCTACAATAAATCACAAAAACTAGCCGGGTGTGGTGGCGTGCATCTATAGTTCCAGCTATGTGACAGGCTGAGGCAAAAGGATCGCCTAAGCTCAGCAGGTCTAGGGTGTGGTGGCCTTAAGCGTGCCACTGCACTCCAGCAAAGGCGACAAGAGTGATACTCCAACTCAAATAATAATAATAATGATGAAAATATTTAATGAATATTGATTGACAGTTTACATTATTTGGGAAAATATGGCTTATTTAATAGTGATATGAGCAAATGAAAGGCTAAACATGTACTTAATTTTTAACTGCAAGTACAAATATTCCAATATATAATTTAATATAATGAAAATTAAAGTGTATAATGAAAGACAAACTGTTTTTTTAAAGATGTGCTTTCGGTCTTGGAAAAGTGGTTCACGCCTGTAATCCTGGCACTTTGGGAGACTGAAGTGACAGGATTGTTTGCGCCCAGGAGTCCCAGACCAGCTTGTGCAACACAGCAATATCTTATCTCTATAAAACAAAACAACAGCAAAACTTAGCTAGGTTTGGTTGCATGGGCCTGTAGTCCCAGCTAGTTGGTAGGCTGAGGCAGGAAGATCACATGAGTCCAGGAGGTTGAGACTGTGGTAAGCCGTTATTATGCCACTGTCCTCTAACCTGGGTGACAGAGTGAGACCTCAACTCAAAAACAAAAACAAAGCTACAAGTGAATTGAGTAAGCTATGCCCCACAAATGAGGACTGGAAATCATAAAGTGAGGATCAATACATAGACTAGATACACACAAATTATAAGGCATATCAAACTATTATTTTATTTACAGTACAACACATTACATAAGTTATTTTATATAGGTTAAAGCATTTTTACAAACAACATGGCAGAAGACAAAATAAATCCGTAGAAACAAGACAGAATATAAATTATCTGTGCTTATGGAAGAAATTCAAATGATGGATAATATTAATATAGGCTTAAACACTTTTAGTGAATAACCAAAATTTGCTTAAAATGAACAAAATAAAATTGCATATTTGGTATATAACTGGAAAAATGAATATGATGGTCAGTTTCTAATGTTGTTGAAGACGTAAGTTGTTATAGAGACCTAGGCTTTTATGTATGGATTTAGATTAGCAAAAATTTTTGAGGACATAAATATGTTAATGCCACTCAAATATTAAATTATTACACATATTAATTCTGAAATCCCTTATTTAGGTTAGATGGAGATTGAAAATACTAATACTATTCAAAACCTTTCATAACTTTGGAACTTGTAAGGCAATATTTATTAATTTTATAAAAACAATAGAAATGTTTCATGGCTTCTCATAGCCTCGGAATGATGGGAAATCTTCTAATAATTAGAAAAATTCTTCAGTTCTCATCTAAAGTACTCCTACTTCCAGAAATATTTTCTAGCCTTTCCTCATTCCTATTCTATGCTGGATTCACTATTTATATTATTTCATTGATTAGCTATAATTTTAGAATTGTTGTATTTATTATTTTATACAGTTCAGCAATCATCTAAGTTTTCTACAGAGTTCAGTGTCATTTTCTGAGTATTATTTACTTTTCTTCCAGCACAAATTTTGGAAATTTTTGGAAATGAGGAAATTTGGTAAACATTTAAGTTAGAAATCAGTATATAAGTTATTAAAATTAAAAGTGTTTAAAAATTTTCTGT